GATGATGGTGATGATGATGATGATGAAGGTGATGATGAAGGCTTGTGGAAATGTGTTGTAGCTGACCCAGTGTCTTGTTAAGAGCGTCTTCCTGTGTGTTTCCAGATAAAGCAGCATCAGTCTGATCTGGAGGACGACCTGTGATGCTGCAGCTCAGGTATGAATTCTCAAACTGAGACATAGAACTGAGAGATTGTCATGACATTTGTTCCACATTCAATGTTGATTAATTATCATAACTTTTTTGATCCTATGACTTTTTATCCACCACCAATTTGTTCAGTGCTTCTGTTCGTGACACAATACTTGCTAAACTAATGACATTCTCATCAGCAGGGGGCTGTACAAATGTTAAAATACTAACATGATAAGCTAAGATGTTGGAAATAAGCATGCATTTTTATTTTATTTGATGTCAGTTCAAAGCACTACTTAGCCAAAGATTTGATCTCAAGTTTCAGCTGCTGGTGAACAGTTTCAGTTTATCTCAGCACGTGTGGAAATAACCTTTTTGAAATAGTTTGGACATATGAAAGCGTTAAATGTCACACGTCAAAGTGTCCTGTAATTCAACACAGTCCCTGCAACTGTTAAAGCAAAAATAGATAAAGGCAACTCTTAGTTGTGAAGATCTAACAACTAATTTCTGACATTCTCTGGAGGGGCTCTATGTGAGAGGCTTTTGTCTGGAGTCTCCATCCAGGCCCTAGTAAAAACTCTGGAAAATGCATTAATGAGCTCATGTGAGAACACATCAGGAGATCCTCTGCAGGATTCACTGCAAGCAAGTGGATGTGTCGGTGACGTTACTAACTTGTGACTGAAAATCACAAAAAGAATACAAATATCTCAGGATGAAAAAGTGGAGCCATACACATAGAAGATGCAGACAAAGCTATGACTGATAAGGACCCACCGGTGATGTTGTTGTAAACAAAAGCATGTGATCTACATAGTGAAATGTATACGTGTTGTCGTGTGTTCACATATGAAAACTGCTTAAGTCTCTTTAAATCATGACATAGTGAAATGAACTGAAGCTAGTAGCAGCTTTGAAGTCAAAAAGCTGTTGCCAAGCTTTACCAATAGTGTTGTTAAGAACTATTTACACTCAATTCGATTTAAGTGCAATTTGTCAGTAAAGCATTCAATGGTATAACCACAACACATCTCCTTCCCCACTGAGATTTACATCCTATTAAGCCAAGAACATCAAGAAAAGATGTTTTTTTAAGCTTAGTTAAAATGATCAAAAGCTCCTCTTTGTGATAATCCCATCATCACATAACATGATAATGTTAAAAGTGTAATCTGATATCAAATCTAAAAGTATGGAACAGTTTGAACTGATCTACTCTCTGTGCTCTCCGACTTGATATCCTACTTGTGGAATTTTTTATATTTCATAGACTCTGTTTGAGTCTCGCAGATCTTTAGATGTTTTCTTACATTCTCTTGTTTCTCTTTTCTCTCCAGAAACTGATGCCTGAACCGATAACAGCTGGGATTGAAATTGCTTTCGAGGAGGCGCTGGCATTATCAACTTCAGATCGACCACGCTCCACATCTGAATCAGTCACAGTCGTTGATGCCTTCTTAGTTCTCGTCTCTATTCCGCAGTACAAACAAAATCCCATGTGTACCTGATCTGATGCTCCATGCTAACACACTGACACATGGGGCACAGTAACTTAACGTTTTACAATGTTCCCTGTAAAGCACCATAGAAGAAGTCTACCTTTCAGGCAGCCCTTGAGTTCAACTACAGTAATTGCAGTTCAAGCAATTCATTTGACTTTATTTCACCCTTGCATTACTGATGTGATCAAAGATGGTCCAGCATCTTAACATGAACAGTGTAACTTCCCATAAGTATCAAATTCATGAGCTATGTTTGCCAGATTTTCAGTTGTCACACATGCACCATCAGGCCCTGATTCTGAAATCTGCCAAGAGAGGCCAAAAGCATGTACTATACAGTACACACATATATACTACATGTCTGTGAAGGCCATACGATATTTATTCCACAGTATGCTCAAAAACAACAGAACTATCTAAATCACATTGGCCTCATTTATCCCTCTAAGGAGTTGCTTCCCATGTTTTGCTCCATTCAGATCTATGTTAATAAAGTAAGTGTGGCAGCAGCTGGCGGCTCCTTATCACACAGTTTATTTCCATCAGACCTGTGGTTATTATGTGTAACCAGCTGTGTGCAGGACTGCTGTAGCGTTCTGTGATGAAGGCTCAATGAGCACGCTTTTACAAATTCACTCAGGAAATCAGTTATAAACTGGTAGACTCAATTTCCTGACATTAGTATTAACTCTGAAATAAAAATTCCAATTTATCAACTAAAACTGTTGAGTTAAGCTAAGTGCTAGCTTTAGTGGTAAAACAGTTTGGAAAAAATGATCTTATCTAATTTTAATGACATAAAATCTCACGATAGCTGCTAAAGCGGTTACCTGTGGTTTGTTCAGCACCTGAAACTAAATGTATCTAATAGTTCAGTACCTATAACAGTTGGGTTTGCATTAGTTCACCTTTAATTTATGCGTTCCACCTAATGTCAAGATTGCAGCATTCAGGGACAGACAGCATGAAGTTATACTATTAGTTTCAACTTTTATCTCAATAAAAAAATAAGGATAACTTTACCACATAACCTTTGGAAAGACTATATTCTTTCATCCCACTGTCACATGATGATGTGCTGCGCTGCACAAACTTACGCCTGTGTACATACATATATATGGTCCAATCTCAAAACACTGTTAACTTTTGTTGAGTTGCCTCCAATATATTTGACTTGCGTTGTTGGACATAGTTTTATTTTCTCCAGATTGTGGGTGACTGACTTTGTGCCAAGCACAGCCACAAAACAATAGTCTCAAACCACACAAGCACACAAGGACCTCTAGCATCTTTGCCCTGCTGGATTATATGGACAACTGTGACTGTACACCCAGTGCTCATGTAAAATATTTGTCAGTTTGAATAAGAATACTTGAAAATATTTATGTGTACAGTAGTGGCTCTTTATACTTAAACATTATTTCAAACTTTTAAAAAATGATTCTAAAATGTTTAAGAAGAAATTATGTAACTGAACGTACATCATCATTTTGGAAACATGACAACTCTTCATTTGTTTTCAGTGTAGTTTCTGCTGTTGATGTGTTTGTGTTTGTTCAGTGCTGAATGTGATGTATTTTAATGTGAGAGTAGAAAGGTATTTTTCATAAAATAAAGGTGTGTTGGGACCTTTCTTACTATATGAGTTATGTTTTATTTTTGTGTGGTAACTGAAATGATTTTGGTATTATGGGTTAATTCAACACTAAAAGCACTGTCCCTGTGTTGAGTGGGACGTCAGGTGGATCCTGGATGTGGTGATAACAGGATGTTAGAGTTTAGTTCTCTGACGAGATGAAACTATAATCCAACTTCAAACTGTAGGACGTCAGGCAGATGTACATGAATACAGGACATGTGTGTGGGGTGGATATGTGTGTCTGCGTGTGTCATTCTGTTTGCTCCAGATGTCCCTCGTGCGCTCCAGGTCCAGGTTTGGGATGTGTCTGTGGCGACCATGAAAACCTCCACTAACTCATCGATGACACGCTCGACCTCCTGCGCCCATCGTGTGCGGCGCCAACAGTGCTGAGCCATCTCCTTGATGGGCACGGTGTTTCTCCTCCTGGAACAGCCTGACTCCTTGGCCTGCCTCAACAGGAACTCTGGATACTCACCCGAAGCCGCCTGCTCCTGCTCCACAGCAGCCGCCACAACAATGTCATCGTCGCCATCATCCTCCAAGGAACCTGGAGCCAGAAATAGAGCACACAAGTGATTAAACAACCCAGGAGGTGACGACAGGCTGCAGCTCAACATGAACCTGACAACACAATGACTTGAAACTTACTTGACAGGACCTCAGCCCTTCTCTTCCTCAAGGGAGATCGATGAGATGGGCGGGAGTGGAGGGTGAGACGGCCCTGCTAGAACTGGAAGGAGAAAGGATGCTGGAGGCTAGACCTGGCGATGAGGAGGCAGCAGGTGAGGAGGCAGCAGGTGAGGTCCTCTCTGTCCCTCCTCATGAAGAGCTTTAGCAGCACCAAGTGGGACTTGGCTATAGTCTCACCTCAGTCTGCTGAAGCCAGCTCATGTAACTGAGACACAAGACTTTAAAAGAATCTTCCAACATCTCCAACTACCGACCTTAGAATGAGGGAAACAGGCCCAGGTCGTTTTACCTGCTGACTTATGAAGCATTGCCTTAGTTCATGCAGGACACGGAGTCATAGGCTCAGCTATCGTAATCATCAGCTAAATAGGTGCACAGGTGCTGGTAAGTCACTTACCAATCACAGCCCATCCTCTCATTAAGCAGGCCTTAAATACAACCTCCTCCTCACCGGTTCTGCACATGTGCCCTGTTCATCCTAGCATGCTGCTCAGCTAATCCAGGGAACATCCAAGGCATGGAGCATCAGCGCCAAGTATAACTGTATTTCAATTTATGCAATATATGGTTAAACCTGACAAAGTGTTCCTGACTGAACAGGGTTCATTGATGCATTCACCCCCCGAAGGTCAAGGAGCTGAATGAGCTGACTCCCACCAACGTGTGGCGGCCATACTCCAGCAGGGCATCCTTGCTTCACATAAAGGAGGAGGCGTGTAGGGATCACGTGACCTCTCATGTACACTGGGCATACATGTGCTGTGAGGAATCATTTTGTTGTTGCAAAAAGAGTTACTACAAACAAATAATAGTTTAATTAATTCAATGGGGGCATTAAGCAGGTGCCATGTTTGACCCTCCATGCCTTCAATGAACCATAGATCTATAGGGGGTGCTACATGCTCCTTACAAATGCAGACATCAAATCCATTTGAATCAGTTAATTAATCAATTGAATGTTTTTTTAATTTTAGCTGGGTATTTATTTAAAAAACAATAACTGAAAAGGATAAATGATCAATACTATAACAGGACGTCTCATTACCACAACATGCATGATAGTGTAGCAGTATATGAGATGTGTGTTGTGGAGGATGAGATGAACTAGCATGTTTTGCTAACAATAATGAAGCCATTATTAAACATTTAAAAAATGTACATGGTTCATGTACTGGACATGGAACTTATTTCATTTATATAGATAATATAAGCTTTTGTGAGACAAATGATGTTGCAGTAATGAGAATCGATTTTGACGTGTACAGGGGCTGGAGATTTTCATTTTGAAGTGTGAAAAACTGAAGACTTGTAGCTATTCTTCTCTGTGATGTATCTTAGGAGAATACAACTTTATTGAAAGAATACAGAGGTATTTACAGGAACGTGAAAAATGTTGTGGAAGATGAGAGGCTTTGATGGACATAATTTGGAAATGAATCACTGCTATGCATCATGTTTTGGTGACTACAGGACTTAATGAACAATATGCATTTTGTTTACTTGGGCATTTTTGTGTTTGTTTATCCTAAAATGAAATCAATGATCCTCTGAAATGAATATGGACACATCAAGAGAATGAAGCTCAAAATGTATTAAAATTCAATATAATTACTTTTCATGTGTAAATAACACACGGTACAAAAGAGAGCATATTATCTTTCATATTGTCTTTTTTTTAATTTCAATTAAATCATGGCTTTCATTTTGAAAAGATCACGGCTATGGTATATCAGTGGTTTCGTGAGAATGAGTCAAATAGGTTAACAATGGTTTCTAAATTTAAGCTGCACAGTACACTGCCCAATGTGTGCTGTGTTATTCATGCCTTTGAGTGAACACTGGTTTCTATTTTATGTTTTTATGTAAAAAGCTGAAGACTGAACAATGCAATAATACATTTTGAATAACCGGCTGACTCAATCCAATTTTATTTGTTAGTCCATATTCACAAATCATAATTTGTCTCATAGGGCTTTAACAAGGTGTGACATCCTCTTCCCTTAACAAGAGTAAGGAAAAACTACCAGAGAAATGCAAAACAAAACAAAATTAAATTCCAACATTTACTACATTGAGTTGAAAAAACAGTTCTTAGCATGATGGAAAAGTGCGTCAATGTTTTAAGTGTTTGTGTATAAGAAAAGGTAGTAGCGGTGACAACTGAAATGGAGCAGTTATTACAGGTATTAGAATCTGTGAGTAGGCATATTGTATATCAAGCAGTCTTAGTTCTAATCATAGTCAATGATCAGCTGCCACCACGATCAGGATCCACCACCACCATCGACAATCCACCATCATGATTCACCACCATGATCACATATAAACATATTGTAGCTGTAACAATTAGTCAACAGTAAATAAATCATTTATTTTCATAATAAATCAATCTCAAGTATTTTAATGCAAAATGGCCTGCTTATATAATATTCATAATTTCCTGACAAGGAATGGATGATTCAAGTAAAAGCAGATGTCTGAGTTTATAAACATCTTTTCTAGTCTTGATGACCACTGAAAGTGCTTTACAGTACAATTTGTATCCACTAGAGGGTGCTACAGCTCCATAAACGCCACACCACGACCAAGCGACGTCCTAAGAGCTGCATTGTGTGACAGAGGAACAGGGGTCAGGTTTACCATGAAACTGTGGAGCATCTGTGGAGAGACTTCAACACCAAGACTTCACTGTCAAGGATCTCAGTCTTCCAAAATCAAGACCATCAGCGGCCTCTGTGAGATACAGATCATATCATCACCAACTGTGTGTAATTGTAACGAAGAATGTTTTTGTCATCCTCTGTTTGTATTATCGGAAATTGTAGTAGTCTGATATCTGGGGGGTGAAACAGGAAAGAGTGGGGAAGTGAGTGATACCAACCTGCCACACATCTCCTCACTGACACTGAAAATGTTTTCTTTGAACAAACCCTGGATTGAACAATGAAACAGGATTTAAGATTTAAGACAACAAGGAGGAGGGGAAGGATAAATAATGTTCTGTAATTATATATGTTTTTGTTAAAATAATTCTTGCTGAGTTGTTAATCATTCTGAGAAGTAATAAGGACACTATGTATATGGCAGTATGTATGTCTATGTAAGGGCAACTAATATGTAAACCATGATTATTTTGATTTTGATGTGTTATTTGTGCTGTTCATGTTCAGGGCTGTTATGAATCGACATTGCATGTGTTTATGTCAAATTGTTTGGATATATAAGATCATAAAAATGTCGTAACTCCTTGTAAAAGAGTCAGAGTGAACCAAAGTTGAAACATGTGATAGAGTACAAGTGCACACTCACAAATCCTTACACACACAAATCTAATGCATTTGTTTTCCTTCCATCTTTTTTTTCTTTTTTTTCCTGTTGCTCTCATTGTATATTGCATCCAATGTTTGCCTCCTTATGTTGAAGTACAGAAAGATTTAAGATTTTGGCTGGGTATTGTTTTAAAGATTCTCAAGTTTGTGCTGACAGATTTGTTACAATTTAGAACCATTATCCAGAGAAATAAACACTCGTATGATACACTTTCTCTAAAGGCAGACAAGGAATGCACATACAGGAATTTTACTAAATAACATTCAGTCTTTGTTTCCTGTGATTTACAGTCTGGAGACGATTTATGCAATAACCCCACTCTTATTTTCAGAGCAGGAAATAAACCAGTCCAAGTCTTGTTTTGCTCTTTGCTGTGTCCAGCTTCTCAAATGTGTGGACTTTGCTGCCGGCCCTTGTTTTATATCATTTCACTGAAAAGAACTCTGAAAACTTGTGAAGGCCTTGTTTCACAGTTTTATGACACTGATTGTGTAAATTATTGTTAGTTGTAGCTAAGATGGTAAATCTGTTTGATTGTGCTGACACATTTTGATCAGTAGCAACACATTGCGGTTAAACACGAGCCCTGAGTTTCTTTGTTTTTTAAATGTTGTCCACATTAATATTATCATGAAGATCAATGCTGCTTTTAAGAATGATTATGGTTATTGCATAAAGCATCTTTAGACTGCAAATCACAGGAAACAAATAAAGCTGCTCTAGAAATGTTCCTGTGTGCGAGCAGATGAACTCGGGCAGAAAATAACCAGGAGAAGAGATGGTGGTAAATCAGGTTCAGGAACTTTCCTTCCCCATCAAACAACTTCACAACGAGCCTTTCACGCTGACAAGCTCTGATACGCGTCCGCGAGAAAAGAAAAACAGTATCTGAACGTTATTTAGAACAGACCAGCTTGTAAAA